ATGTTTGCCCCTATTCATCATTACCCTATGCAGACCCTTTTACCTGCTGGAGGAGCCATAGGGTAGACCTCTGACACCATTTAATATTCTCTCATCGATGGAGACTGCTGAGAGATAATTGTGTATAATGGTAGTAGAGGTGGAAAAGGAGGAGTTGGAAGGAGGAAGAAGAGTGTGGCCCTTTTCTTGATGACTAGAATTCTGGTGCTGTTTCCAATGAGCTGCATGGTAAGATGTCTTTTTATACACAAGGTGACCAAATTGCAAATGGTTTTGCTACCCTTCATATGCTGGAGGCAGAAACTGCAAATAACCACAGTGCAGTCTTCTGCACAAATGCTAAGAAAGGCCTGCACAGGAAAGTTTTGGGGATTGGACCAGGGAACAAGAGTACCTTGTACCTCTGGAGCTCTGCCATTTTGTGGAACCAAGTCAGTTTCTCTCTCCACTACTCTGCGACCTACCTCTATTTGACCTGTTCAGGCACCTATCCATATGACAGTTTCCTGCTGTCATTGGTTCACAATGAAAAAGCAGGTGCTTGCACTCACCATGTCCCACTATCACGTACCTGGTGTTAGAGGCCAATGGAGAGAGGGCTTCCCTTGCGGCTAAGTTTCAGACCCCAGTGAGAGTGGGACAGCAGGAGTCAGGCCCAAAGTGGCACAGGTCGCCTGTAGGAGTGCTCGTTGGTGGTCCACCCAGGAGCACAGCTGATAGACTGAGATGGGATCTGCAGACAGGCGGTGCCTGTGTGAGGTATGCAAGCCTTCCGGGAAACAGAAGATCACAGGATAGCCAGTTCAAAGCCGAGGTCAGGTACCAGGTGGAAATCAGAGTAGACGTAGTCAGATGGGATAGCCAAGGTCATACACAGAGGAGTGAGAGGTAATATCCGTTAGCCAAGCCGAGGTCAGGGGTTAAGCAGAGAAGACAGGTCCAAGAGCAAGCCGAGTCGGTATCAGGAAATCACAGATCACAATAGCACAGGAACAAGGTACTGGGAAGCCAGAGATCAACCAGCACCTACGAGTAGGGCAGGGATTCCTTATAAAAGCCGTTTGAAGCCAAATTTGAGCCAATGTGAACTTCTGTGGCCATGCAAGGTACTGGCAGGGGTGCCATGTCTCCTAACACCTTTGCCGAGGACAGAGCCCTGACACCCACATGCATAATCAGGGGGTTGAGTGCAAGTACACAGTGGAGGAACCGTGTAAATCCAAAATAACAGTGCCACATTAAGGTGCAAGCACATGTGCCATAAATATTCTTCAAAATAAAGTGATCTGTTCTCCATGTAAATTGACTCCACTCCTCCAACCTTGTACAATCAATTGTGTCCCCTACAGGGACCGAACTCACCAGAGGTTGTTGACCCTCTAAGTATACACCGAGGAAAGGTCAATTAGTGCTTTCACACAGTTCCACTGTGTATAATATCTTTCTTCTTATAGCCAGGTATCCCATGTAAGTAGAGAGGGAGCCAGAGAAAACTAGGGTTTTACCATTCCATTAAAACTTCAAAGAATTAAAAAAGTAATACACTCACATAGTTTTGGTGCACTATCCAGAACCCAGAATGATCTGCCTAAAGCTTTCTATGGAAACGTTGCTGCTCTGTGCAGCCTGAAGTCAGTGCACGTTCCAAACGACAGAAGTAGTTCCTGCCCCTATGCATTTCATTACATCAGGGACATCTTTAGGAGGCATGGCCTCCACTATGTCTACCGCTGTGCATAGACTCAATCATGCACCACCATTGGTGGAAGCTCTGCTCTCCAATTCAAACAAAATTGCAAGACTCCGGTGCTATCGGCAGATGGATGGTTTAACATACACTATATTGCCAAAAGTATTGGGATACCTGCTTTTACAGTTTATGAACTTTAATGGCATCCCAGTCTTAGTCCGTAGGGATCAATATTGAAATGGCCCACCCTTTGCCAAGTAGAACAGCTTCAACTCTTCTGGGAAGGTTGTCCACAAGGTTTAGGAGTGTGTTTATGGGAATGTTTGACCATTCTTGTAAGGTCAGGAACTGATGTCAGACAAGTCATCCTGGCTCTCACTCTACACTCTAATTCATCCCAAAGGTGTTGTATTGGGTTGAGGTCAGAACTCTGTGCAGGCCAGTCAAGTTCCTCCATCCCAAACTCGCTCCTCCAAGTCTTTTTAAAACATGCTTTGTGCACTGGTGCAGTCATGTTGGAACAGGAAGGGGCCATCCCCAAACTGTTCCCACTAAGTTGGGAACATGAAATTCTCCAAAATGTATTGGTATGCTGAGGCCTTAGGAGTTCCCTTCACTGGAACTAAGGGGCAAGCCCAGCCCATGAAAGACAGCTCCACACCATAATCCCCCCCTCACCAAACTTTACACTTGGCACAATGCAGTCAGGCAAGTACCGTTCTCCTGGCAACCGCCAAACCCAGACACGTTCATTGGATTACCAGACAGAGATGCGTGATTCGTCACTCCAGAGAACACGTCTCCACTGCTCTAGAGTCCAGTGGTGGCATGTTTTACACCACTGTATCTGACACCTTGCATTGCACTTGGTGATGTAAGGCTTGGATGCAGCTGCTTGGCTATGGAAACCCATTCCATGAAGCTCTCTACACACTGTTGTTGTGCTAATCTGAAGGGCACACCACGTTTGGAAGTCTTTAGCTATTGACTCTGCAGACAGTTGGTGACTTTTTAACGTAGCCTACCACTTGGTGGCTGAGTTGCTGTTGTTCCCAGTTGCTTCCACTTTGTTATAATCCCACTAACAGTTGACAGTGGAATATTTTGTAGCAAGTAAATTTCATGGATGGACTTATTGTACAGGTGGCAACCTATCACGGTACCACACATTCATGGTGCTTGTTAGAGCGACCCATTCTTTCACAATTGTTTGTAGAAGAATTCGGCATGCTTAGGTGCTTGCAGGTGATTGTAACACCTGAATCCAATGATTTGGAGGGCTGGCCCAATACTTTTGGCAATATAGTGTATATGTATAGGGATTTTTTCAGTTGGAATTGGTGGAACTCAGTTTAAATTGAGCTCCTGAGAGCGACCCATTCTTTCACAAATGTTTGTAGAAGCAGCCTGCATGCCTAGGTGCTTGATTTTATACACCTGTGGCCATGGAGGTGATTGGAACACCTGAATCCAATGATTTGGAGGGGCGTCCCAATACTTTTGGTAATTTAGTATATATTGAACTATCTTATATAAAAATTCTTAAAACTCATCAATTTTATTAAATGAACATTAAAACACTACCTTCCATTATTCCTTGAATCCATCTAGTGGTCTGAATGTACAACTACATCTCCTATCTCCTAAATTTATTTTAATGTGTCTCCATCTTGTGGTGCCAATTTATATAGCCACTAAAATGGCTCAATCAAATATTTACCTAATACATCAATAAAAATAAGAAAGTAAATAAATATATAAATATAGCTAACGCAATTGTTATAGGGCTAAGTTATTAGAAGTCTGTGATAAATCAATTCATGTCCATGTCCACATTCATGCCATGGGGGGGGGGGGGGGGGGGGGGGGGGGGGGGTCAAAGTATTTAGTGCAAAATTCCATCTGTTTTTATTTTTTATTAGTTTTTGTTTTATTTTGTGAAATGTCCTTTCTTAAGTTGGGCCCTCTCCAGTGTTTATTAACCCTATCTGTGCCATAAAAAGTAAGCAGACTTGGATCTCTATCATGAACAGTCTGAAAGTGTCTAGAGACGCTATGGGGTTGATTTACTGAAGGCAAATAGACTATGCAGTTGCACTCTGCAAGAACAATTGCTCCAAGGCTTAGTAAATGAGCAGAAGCTTTGCTGACTTTTATCATCCAATCATGTGCAATCAAAAGTGCTGTTTTGCTAATTTTCCTTGGACGTGATTGGGTATTCTTTGCAAAATAAAGCTTTACCTCATTTACTAAGCTCTGGAGCAACTTGCACCAATCAGTGTGCAACTGCACTTTGCAAAGTGCACAGTCTATTAGCCTTTAGTAAATCAACTCCTGTATCTCTGATATCCCTTCTTAACCCTTTCACGCCTGCACATCCCGGCCCTTTAAGGGTTTCAGAAGCCGGCAGGTGGGGGTGAGTTTTAGAGTCATGTGACCGCCGTCACATGACGTCACGACGGTCATATGATCAGGAAAGGTCCCGACTGAAAGAGGAGATCGGGACCTTTCCGTGAGTACCGGACATGTGTGCTGGGAACGTGCAAGGTGTGCGCTCTCGGCACATATGTCCTTTTTTAATAGAGCGCAAATGTGGGGCTGCTCGGCATCTACGCCCAGACGCCGGGAGGCTGCACATTTGTGTTTGACCAGCGTGAAGAGGTTAATGTTCCTCGTATGTTCCTGAATCCTTTCTGCAAGTTCCCTGGTAGTTCTGCCTACATAATGAATCAGGCATGGGCATTCCAGCATTTATGTAACATATGTGCTGTCACAGGACATCAATTTTATTAATATCATATATTCCCCCCGTATGATTAGAGTCAAAATCTGTGCATTTCTTTCTGTTATCTTTACTTACATGACCTGACCACATCTTCCACATTTGTAAAAGCCTTTTTTATCTAGGAAGGTAACCTTGTTTTTTGGGAGATCTGGAATATTTTTCACTACCCTAGTTCTAAGCCCAGGGGCCGACCTATATATACATTTTGGCTGTTTAGGCAATATTCCCTGTAATGTATTGCCCCTCATTAAAAATTGGCCTATGCTTTTTAGGCAGAGCTCCCAGGAAACTTACAGTAAAGATTCAGGAACATGTGAGGAACATTAAGAAGGGATCTCAGAGACATAAGGGTTGATTTACCCTTACCCATACAAGGTGCAATTGCTTCAGAGCCTTGTAAATGAGATACAGATTCACTTTCCAAGGAATACCCAATCATGTGCAAATAAAAAAAAAAATTGAAAAAAGCACTTTTGCTTTCACATGATTGGATGATGGAAGTCAGCAAAGATTCTGCTCATTTACTAAGCCTTGGAGCAGGGGCGGACTGACCATTTGGAAATTCGGGCACTGCCCGAGGGCCCGGGGTCAGTAGGGGGCCCCATGAGAATATTTAAAGATGCCCTGCACTGTCAGTAATCGCCGCAAGGTCTATCTGAGTTCCTGAGTCCTGTACCTGTGTTTTTGACCCTGATTGACCCTGACTACTACGCTGCCTACTCCTGTGTTTGACCCGGATTGTCCTGACTACTCTGCCTTCTACAATCCTGACCCCCGGCTTGTTTTGACTTCTCTACGGACTGACTTATCCTGCTGACCTGCGTGTGACCTGACGATTCTCCTCCTGCCGATTCTGTACCTCGCCTACCCCACGGGACCCCTGCTCGTGATCCATCCTGCTAGGTCCTGCCGTCCTCCTCACATCTGGCTCTCCCGGTACCTAACATCCCCGGAGGTACCCTCTGCCACTGGTGGGCCTGCTCGGAAGTCGTGACCTGGTCCCGGTCTGTTTCAAGTCCATCCCCACCATCAGGGGCCCTGGTGAAAGCACAGACCGGGACTTAGACTCCACGCTTTGGGTAGGTCTGTCAAGTGGGCAGCCAGGGGCACCACCTGGCGGATCATAACAGTACCTTGCGGCCATGACAGAGCCAGGAAGAGGACCGGCGTCCCTAGAGGATATATGCCAGCACCTGGCGACTCTGACCCAGGCCTTCCAGAACTTTCACAGCCGCTGCACCCGTCTTGAGGACTGCATGGAGACGTTTGCCACCCAGACTCCCCCTGCTCCAAGTTCCGCAACTGCGGAGTCACCCGCTGCCCCAGCATCCGGAGCAGTTGCGGCAACCCTAGTTCCCAAACCCCGCGTTCTCCTGCCGGAACGATTTCCGTGGAGACCGAAGCCGCTTTCGGGCCTTCCGGAACGCTGTGCACTTTATTTTTTGACCTGCAGCCCCGCACGTTCACCGTTGAGACCGTCAAGGTGGGGTTTATAATCTCTCTCCTTCAGGATGAGCCCCAGGATTGGGCTCACCTCCTGATAGAGAAGCGTGACCCCCATCTTGATTCCGTGACTGAGTTCTTTCAGGCCATGGCCGTCCTATATGACGACCCCCCAGCGGGCTGCCTCCGCAGAGGCTACTCTATACTCTCTGCGGCAAGGCCGCCGGGCGGCCGAAGAGTATGCGTCTAATTTTAGGCGTTGGATGGGAGATACCAGATGGAACAATGCGGCATTATGTCACCAGTTCCGCATCGGGCTGTCTGAGTCGCTAAAAGACGAATTAGCACGAGTAGGACTACCGGACTCTCTTTAGAAACTGATAGAGTTGGCCATCCAAATTGACCACAGACTGAGAGAGCATCGCCTGGAAAGGAGTAGCCAGGGTCAAAGGGTGGCATGGATCCCACCGAGAGAAGCAGCTCCAACCCCAGGGAACCATGCCCGGAGCACGGAAGCAGGGGACACCTCAGAACCCATGCAACTGGGACTGGCCCGTTCCACTTTATCGGCCGAGGAACGTCAGAGGAGACGATCGCAGAACCTATGTCTGTACTGTGGGGAAGCTGGTCACCAGGTGCGCTCCTGTCCTGCAAAAATGAGTAAGTCCGCTTCCTGTTTTCCTTTACCTACAGAAAGGGGGTGACCTATCTAGTTACCTGGCAATACCTGTGTCTTTACAGCTCCCCGGAGGAACCCTGTCGGTGACCGCAATCATTGATTCGGGAGCATGTAGTTGTTTCATCGATCTTACTTTTGCTCACCGGCAAAAGATTCCCCTCCAGACCAAAGAAAGGGGGTTTAACATCTTCCTGGCAGACGGGTCTAGCATAAAGTCGGGAGTGGTGGATCAGGAGACTCCCCCTATTTTTAACACGATGGCTGACCATCATCAGGAGTTCCTCCGTCTGGATGCCATCGCATCCCCCCTTTTCCCAATCATTCTGGGGCTTCCTTGGCTGTGGGCCCATAACCCCCAGGTTGATTGGGAGAAGGGAACGGTTCAATTTCGGTCACCATACTGCCGGGATCACTGCCACGTCCCAGGGCCCGTGCCTCCCCGGTTTCTCCTGTGCATGGATGGTGATACGGATCTGTCTCAGGTTATCCCTCTGGCCTACCACGATTTCTTAGACGTGTTCAGTAGCGAGGAGCAGACATTCTTCCCCCCGCACCGTTCATACGATTGCCCCATAGACCTCCTACCCGGATCTGAGATTTCATTCGGTCGCATTTTTCCTTTATTGGAACTAGAATCAGGAGTTTTGAGGGAGTATATTGATGACAATCTGCGGAAGGGATTTATTCGCCCGTCCACGTCCACGTCCCCGGCCGGGGCTGGGTTGTTTTTTGTAGAAAAAAAAGACAAATCATTACGGCCCTGTATTGACTACCGAGACCTGAATAAAATCACAGTAAAAAATCGCTATCCGTTACCCCTAGTCCCCGAGCTCCTCCAGAGGTTAGGGTCAGCAGCGATTTTTACTAAATTAGACTTGCGGGGGGCATATAACCTTGTTCGTTATCAGGGAGGGGGGATGAATGGAAGACAGCCTTTCGTACGAGATTCGGTCATTTCGAATATTTGGTGATGCCGTTCGGGCTCTGTAACGCACCGGCCACCTTCCAACACTTTATCAACGATGTCTTTCGTGATTTCCTCGATGTCTTCGTGGTTGTCTACCTAGATGACATCCTGATATTTTCACCCTCACTGGAGGCTCATAGGAGCATGTGGCAAGGGTCTTAGCACGTTTACGCCAACACGGGCTTTACGCCAAGGCAGAAAAATGCTGTTTTGAACAGTGTAAAATGACGTTCTTGGGACTGGTCCTCTCTCTCCCCCGCGGGGGTCGCGATGGATCCCCAGAAAGTCACGGCGATCTTAGATTGGCCAACACCCACCAATAAGAGGGGGGTACAGCGTTTCATTGGATTCGCAAACTTTTATAGAAAGTTTGTCAGGAACTTCTCAGGCCTGGTTTCCCCAATCACGCAACTGACTAAACAAGGGATTCGTTTTTAAATGGACTCCTGAAGCCCAGACCGCGTTCCACACGCTCAAGAAATTGTTTACTTCTGCTCCCATTCTCTGCCATCCAGATTCTTCTCTTCCATATGTTTTGGAAGTGAACGCCTCCGAAAATGCGGTAGGAGCGATTCTTTCCCAAAGGAGTGGTACCAAGGAGTTACTGCATCCTGTGGCGTTTTTCTCCAGGAAGTTGACTCCGGCGGAGCGCAATTACGATATTGGAGATCGGGAACTCCTGGCCATCAAGTCCACTCTAGAAGAATGGAGGTATCTCCTGGAAGGAGCCACACACCCAATCCTATATTCACGGATCACAAGAACCTCGAGTATTTAAGGACGGCGAAACGACTGAGACCACGCCAGGGCGAGATGGGCTCTTTTCTTCTCTCGATTTACCTTTCATATAACGTACCGACCTGGGTCTAAGAATACGAAACCAGACGCTCTGTCCCGCATGTTTGAGGACCCTGACGATACAGTGTTACCTGACACAATTTTGCCATCCGGAAGCTTCCTCGCCCTGCAAACGGAACTTCGCTCCAGACTGATTGACGCTTCTGTTGGACTGCCAGTCCCGCCTGGGTCGCCTCTCCAGAACGGCGATGGTCTGCTTTGGAAGGAAAATTGGATCGTGGTGCCAGAAGGAGTTCAAACTTTGGCCCCGGGGCACTGCCACGACCATCCAATGGCAGGGCACTTTGGGGTGACGAAGACTCTGGAGCTACTGCAGCGCTCATTCTGGTGGCCAAACATGGTCAAAGACTGCGAGCGCTACGTCCAGACCTGTCCCACCTGCCAAAGGAACAAGCCCTCCAGAAGCAAGGCCTGGGGATTGTTGCGTCCATTGCCGATACCCAAACGGGCCTGGCAAATGATTGCCATGGATTTTGTAGTCGAACTCCCACCGTCTCAAGGCTACACTGCTATAATGGTGATCGTGGATCGCTTTTCAAAGATGGCTCATTTCGTGCCCTTGGAAAGAACCCCGTCTTGGGCACCGGAGGACTGCACGGATTATTCATCAAGGAAGTAGTGAGGCTACATGGGATACCCGAAGACATAGTATCGGATCGGGGAGTCCAGTTCACATCAAGATTCTGGAAAACCTTATGTGTGAAGCATTAGGAATCAAACTGTCACTGTCATCCGCTTACCATCCACAGACAACGGGCAAACGGAAAGGACCAATCAAACGTTGGAACAGTACCTCAGATGCTACACCTCCTATCTTCAGGACGACTGGCTAACACTGTTGCCTTCTGCAGAGTTCGCCTATAATAACTCGAGCCACTCAGCTACGGGACAATCACCGTTTTTTACCAACTTTCGGATATCATCCTACGTTTCTCCCCGACCTAATGCCCGAAAGTCCCGGTACCCGCATCTCAAGATGTCTTGCATTTCTTTTCTGTCAATAACAAGACGATTCAGGAGGCCATCACTAAAGCCCAAGAAGATAGTAAAAAGGCGTTCGACAGGAAGAGAAGAGGAGAGCTGTTGCTCCAGCCAGGGGATCAGGTTTGGTTGGCTACGACCAACTTGAAAATGCTGTGTCCTTCCAGGAAGTTAGGACCGAAGTACCTTGGTCCGTTTCCAATTAAACGGGTGATCAATGAAGTGGCCTACCAACTCGAGCTCCCGGAGTCTTTCAAAATACACCCTGTGTTCCATGTCTCTCTCCTGAAACCATCCAGACCAGATTCCTTCCCGGATCGCCAATCCAGACCTCCCGAGGCAGTCACCATAGGTGACCAAGAGGAATATGAGGTAGAAAAACTATCCTCAGTTGCCGAAAAAGGGGGGGCCAGATGCAGTTCCTGATAAAATGGAAGGGTTATGGCCCTGAGGAGAACTCTTGGGAACCCATCCAGAATGTCACTCCCCCAGGCTCATCCGTCAATTTTTTCGTGGCCACCCGCGGTGGAGAGATCAGTGGGGCTCCCGGAGGGTGCCCGTAGGGGGGGGCAATGTCAGGGATCGCGGCGTCCTGTCGGCCGGAGCTTGCGCGCTGGCGACGGCTCAACGCCGGGACACAGGCACCAGGTCCCGGCGAGCCGTGGATGACAGGACGC